GATAATTTTTCCAAGAATTCAATACTCAAAACAACTTCAATTGATGAATTTCGTAGGGAGATGGAAAAGGTGAGTTTTAGTTTTCTAGTATTAGTAATTTGATCTTAAATTAATTTAAACGCATAATTAATTTCAGTACTACTCGTACAGCCCTCTCATCTTTATTCTGAAGTAATAAGGAATTCTTTCACCAATCAGCAATTCTTTCGACCCATCAGGGTACTTAGAACAGCTATGCTGTTAGTCGATTTCTAATCTTGTCCAGAAGATACTATTTGTAATATCCTATTATTCCTATTTTGTTAAGATCGACTAAAGTAAAATTATTTTCCACTCTCTAGGTGTCTTGAAATTGACTTATTGTTTTGTTCTTTATATGTTGTGGCACATTTTGGACTACTAGATACCTACAGTATGGAATATCGTGTGAAGAAAAAGGAGATAATTATTATTACTAATGATTTTACATCGTGAAGGCTGAAGTGATTATTAGAAGTAGTGTTTGTTCAGTCTGTTATTGGGGTAACAGATGACCTTTATTTGTTCAGTTGCAATGTAAACTACCATTCAATAAATATTCGTCAGTTTGGCTCTTTTCGTATTTATTTTTAAGAACATCAGGTTTAATAATTTTTTCAGCATCAGTTGATTTTTAATGCTATGAAGTGTTGGAAAAAATTAAAACTTTATTTGAAATTTGCATTATTTGAAAAAATATTCTAAGAAGCAAAATTTAAATAAAAGAACAACTTTTACTTAAATTATAACTTTAATATATCACGTTTTTCTAGATATTACTTTGCTTTTGCAGTTTAGTTTTAAAATATTATAGAGAAATAATTAAACATGGGTCATTCCAGTAGTTTGCTATTAGTATTACTTTTAGAAATGTAGAATTACATAGATCATAGATCAGCCTGTGAATACCCTTTGATGACTTCGAATCATATCAGTTTTACGTTTCAGCTATAGGTCTGAAGTCGTATTTCTTCCCATTCTCAAAATGGATATTGTTGGATGCCTACTTGCAAAAAACAGTTTCTTGTCTTCAGCGTTTGATTGTATTTTAAACCGCAATATTTTTGTCTGAATAAATCTGGTTACTCTGCAATAATGCTTTGCTTATTATTCTATTGAAAATAATTTATATATTTGCATTTCAGG